GCAAGATGGCTCAGCGGATAAGGACAGCGGCTGCCAAACCTGACGGCTTGGGTTCTGTCCTCAGAACCCACACAGTAGAACTGACACCCACAAGCTGTCCTCTGACTTCCACATGAGTGCCCACATTAGCTGACCAGGACACATAAGGCCAAAAATTGTGCTGGATCTCCTGGAACTAGAGCTGCCATGAAAGAGTGCTGGGAACCAAACCAGGCCCTCTACACGGGCAGCCAGTGCTCTAAACCAACAAGCCATCTCTCTAGCCCTTAAGTCATTTTCAACTGAAAACAGAGATGCTGATTGTGTATGTGTGTGTGTGTTTGAGACAGGGTGTTTCTGTGTAACAGCTCTGGATGTCCTGGAACTCACTTTGTAGACCATGTTGGCCTCAAACTCAGAGACCCACCTGCCTCTGTTTCCCGAGTGCTGGGAGTAAATGCATGTGCCACCGCAGATGCTAATTTTTATAGTGTGATGAAATAGCATCGATTTGTATTATACCATTGGAGGTTCTCCATAAAGCCAGAACCAGTAGGTGATATATATACAGTCACATATCAAATGAGGGACTGTCTGCCAGGGACTATAATTAACTTAATCACATGGGAAGACTCAGTCCACTGTGGGTGGCTCATTTTAAGGGTGTAGACTGCTGTGCCGGGCTTGGGTGGCTCATTCTAAGAGCTGAGCTCCAGCATGAAAGCACAAATTCATTCTCTTTGCTTGTGATTGGATACATAGCCTTTGGTCTCAGCGACAGCCAGACAAAGCAAGACAGCCACAAATGGCTTAGGCACTGGCTACTTTTCCAGCTGACCCAGGTTTGGCTCCCAGCATCCACACTGCAGCTAACAACCATCTGTAACTCTAGTTTCAGGGGATCTATGACCCTCTTCTGGCCTCCTTGGGCATTGCATGCATGTGGTACAGACATACATGTAGGCAAAACATACATATAAAGTAAAAATAGATTTAAAAAAAATCACTTTTTTTCTTTTCGAGACAGGGCTTTTCTGTGTAGTCCTGGCTGACCTGGAACTAGCTCTGTGACCTGGCTGGCTACAACACATCAAAAACTTCCCATTGCCTACTGCTACTGCAGCCAGAGCAGTTGCAGCGTAAGGCAACAGGATGTGTTTGCAGTGATGCAGTTAAAGCAGCCTGAAGAGCGGTGGGCCTTAAAAAGGCGCAGCACACAGTTATGGGTCATATCGCTTATAATCAGTTACCATGTGATCATATGTGACTGCGTAAGTATTTACCGTTCTTTTTGGTTTTTGTTTAGTTTTTGTTTCTTCAACATAGGGTTTCTCTATGTAGCTCTGGCTGTCCTGGAATTCATTCTGTAGACCAGGCAGGCCTTGAACTCTGAGACCCACCTGCCTCTGCCTCTGCCTCCCAAGTGTGGGATTAAAGGTGTGCATCACCACTGCTAGGCACTTGTGACAATTCTTTGGTCTCATCTCCCCGGTGCTGGGCTTATGCTCATGAAAACTTAAATAACAATATAATGATTTTTAAAATTGTAGCATATGCCTTTAATCCCTTAGTGAGACCTAAGCAGGGAATTCTTTGTGAATTTGGGCCAGCCTGGCCTACCTTGTATTAAAAGAAAGAAAAAGAAAAAGGAAGGAAAACGACAAACTAAAAAGAAAACCATAGGTCATGCCACATAGCTTAGGGATGTAGTAGACCACACAATCAAGGGATGTGTGTATGTAACTCTTTCTCCGAATGTAGTCCCATCACTTAGTAATTTATGACTACATATATTGATATATATGAGTGTGTATATATGGACTTATTAAAAGAATATTTTAAATATGGTCGATATAAACTTGTTTGCTCTCAATAGTCATTGGCAACTGTGGAGAAAGCATTTCCCTTTTATTTTTGACTCGTGACAAAAGGAGAGAGCGAAAAAAAAATAAAATAAAAAAAAAAGGAGAGAGCGCCTTGTAGCTCTGTCCGTGGATGGGACCGGTCCCCATGTCTCAACACTACTGAGGAGATTATGCAAATGAAGGCACAGGGAGACCTAGGTGGTAGACAGTAGCCTTGAGAGAAGGGACAGGTGGGCAGAAAGAAATGGGCTTATTTACCTGGAGAGGCAGCAGGGGGTCCTGTGGTAGCTGGCGGGGCAGCAGGGCCACTGTCGTTCTGCACCTGAAAGCACAGATTGACAGGCCGGTCGGTCACACACTCAGACCCTCCTCAGCACCACGCTGATTTGCACCTCTTCTCCAGACCCGGGACTCACCGATTTGTTGGGCGCCTGCTGAGTGTTATATTCTGGACTGGGCTCACTGAAATTAGGAACTTCGGAATAAACCATGCAGAATCTGCAAGGAAAGAAGCCAAAGCCTTGGAGTCATCTTTTGGGCCACAGACAAATCCGGCCCTCAGGTGTGTGGCCTGCACAGGCTTGTCTGCGATGCCTTCTGGGAAACCGTAACTTTCCGACTTGGAGCAACTAGTGCTAACCCAAATCCCCAAGGCAGAACTTACTCGCCAATCTTCTGCAGATCGCCCCCACGGCCGGTGTATAGTGTCAGGCAACCCTTGAACACGGAAGCATACCTGTGGGGTGGAGTGGGGGCAAGCAGGATTCAGTCTTGAGAAAAGCGTAGGGACTTTTAACCACATCCTCCAGCTGTTGCTGCTAGGAGCCTTGACTTACCCTTTGGTGAGTCGGATAATGTCGCCAGGCTGGATTAGGTTGCCCACATCGTCCCACACCGAGATATTGATGCTGCCCGTTTTGTCTGCTACTTTACAGGTCCGAACCTCGTGCCCGTCCTTGGTCTTAGTCACTCGGCCTTTGAGGGAAGAAATACAAGTGGTGTGGTGGTAGCGGAAGTCTGGGTATTGTTTGAGTGAGGTGAAAGTGTAGACGCTGAGCAAAGCTCATATCCCTCCTTGGAGGCAGGAGGTTATGCGTGGGTGTGGGGTGAGAGAGGAGGGTCCAGCACCATGGAGAGAGCCCTGAGTGGAAAAGGCCCGCGTGGCTCTTGAGGCATTAGGCTCTCTAGAGTTCTGGCTACTCTCTTCCCACGGGCAGCTAGCTCCTGTGCCAGCAGGTCTGAGGGATTAGAGGGCTTTGGGGAGTCTCCTCCCAGTGCAGGCAACAAGTTCAGAACGCAGGCCTTGGTCCCGTGTGTCCCCACTCTCCATGCTCCTCCCCGTTTGCGCCCCCCACCCCCCCGAGTCCACTGCGCATGCATAGCCACCTGTCTCCAGTACAATGAAGATGAGGTTCAGGTTCTTGAGCCCGGGCTTGATATCCTTCACGAAGGTCTCGGTCGTCATGCTTCCCGAACCGCGGCACCCCGCTGGAAGTGGAAACGGGAGATGAAGGCTCAAGGTCTGGAGCCTTCGTCCCCATGCTCCCGCTTGGCCTACCCACCACACCAGGCGGGGATCCGGCAGCCTTGGTCCTTCTCTAACCCTTCTAGGAGGTGAGAAACGAACTTCCCTGGGGGCCTCGTACTTCAAGATCAGAACTCAGAGATCTCTGGATAAGATGCTTAGGGGCTGGCCCTCCCTCGGTCAGGATGCTTTTAGTCTCACGCTCCGAAGCAGGGAGGCTAAAGGAGACTCCTAGGGAACTCGGTGCAGAGCCAGGGACCAGAATCTTACTCCGCAGATCTTCCTGAACCCTCATCCCACACCCAGAACTCGGACCATCCCCTCCCCACCCACAGCCCACCACCCACCCAGCCGGCAGGCGGGACCGTGCACACCGCCAAGCCACCCGCAGGGGGAGCCAGGGGGCTAGCTGCCCCCGGATGCTGCGGAGTGGAACGCGGGAGCGCAAACATTCCCGGAAGTGTCCCCTGACCTTCTCCAGCCAATAGGGACCGAGGCGCTCTCCAGTGTCCCGCCTCCAGCCACCGCCCCTCCAATCAGACTCCGATATTCACGCGCCGCGAACGGGGCGGGCTTAGGCTTTAAAGGAGCCTTGAGGGAGATTACTTCCGTAGAAGAAAAGATGGACGGACCACCAGGGGGCGCCTCAACTAGCAATCATTCCTTTGGCTCAGAGAAAGGACTTCAAGCTCTCAAGAGTTTTTTTTTTTTCTTTTTCAAGTAGTGGCACAATGGAGAAAAGGTCCAAGGGTTTTGGAATGCAGCGGACAAAAGTTTGAATCCCAGCCTGTCTCTTCGCTTCTTTTCTCTTTAATTCTTAAATAAATTCCATTTTGCCGGGCGATGGTGGCGCGCGCCTTTAATCCCAGCACTCGGGAGGCAGAGGCAGGCAGATCTCTGTGAGTTCGAGACCAGCCTGGTCTACAGAGCTAGTTCCAGGACAGGCTCCAAAGCCACAGAGAAACCCTGTCTCGAAAAAAACAAAACAAAAAAAACAAAAATTTCATTTTTATACATGAAAATGGAAAGTTCGGTAAAAAGCAATGCCTAAGACAAGGCAGGAATTTACTTCATCTATTTATTTATTTATTTATTTATTTGGTTTTTCGGGACAGGGTTTCTCTGTGGTTTTGGAGCCTGTCCTGCCTGGAACTAGCTCTTGTAGACCACGCTGGTCTCGAACTTACAGAGATCCGCCTGCCTCTGCCTCCCAAGTGCTGGGATTAAAGGCATGCGCCACCACCGCCCGGCTTGGTTTTTTTGTTTTTTTGTTTTGAGACAGGGTTTCTCTGTAGCTTTGGAGCCTGTCCTGGAACTCTATCAGTAAACCAAGCTGGCCTCGAACTCACAGTCCTGTGTCTGCCTCCCGAGTGCTGGGATTAAAGACGTGCGCTACCACCACACCGCTAGCTCTATATTCTTATAAATAAACCAGTTACCTATGTAATAATGTGTATTTCCCTTGTGAAAAGATACTATAACAGATACTGTTTGACACAAAGTTAGCCTAAGAGGTAACGTAATTGCACTTTTTGTCTTGCTTAATCCCTTACCTATCACAGAGGCTTTTATTTATTTATTTATTTATTATTTATTTATCTATTTATCTATCTATCTATTTATTTATTTAATACTGTAGCCATTTTCAGGGACCTTAAGGACTTCAGCTGTCCTTAAGGCTCGTAACATGGCATCACTATTGCCCGCCTTTTCTAAATATCTGCAGAAGCACAGAGGATTTTCCTCGAAGCCCGGGTTCTCTCCCACCCATATCCCTCCAATCACGGCGCCGCACCCTTAGGGAATCAAACCCTTTAGTGTTTCAGGGCGCTCTGGATTTTTTGAAGAGGCATCATGAATGCTGCAAGAGTGTGCGGCTGGAAGGCGGGCGACCCTTAGAACACCCTGATCAAAGCTTTGCGGCGAGACACTCCCTCCCCACCCCGCAGCCTTCCAAGTTAACTGCTGTATCCATTCCCATGACAGTGAGTCACAAGGTCGGGAGGCTTGGCGAGGCTGACCACAGCTCTGGAAACTGAGGGGCTGGGAGGACAGCAGGTCACCAGTTGCCCCGAGGCTGTCTCGCCCCGGAGCTGCATCAGCTCTAGCACCCGAGACGTGCATTACCGAACGCGGAGCGACTTAGCAGGGCGGTACACCCAGGATCGCCCCAGATTGTCACACCTGAAGGACACAGTCCTCCCTCCCAAACGGCTATAAAGTCCCAGCTGGGGTTCTGAAGAACTTCCGGCCCCGAGCGGAGGCCTAGCTAGCCCAGGTCCTGCGTAGGCAGCTCGCGGGGAGCTTCGGGTCGCCACCGAGTTAAACAAAGGGGCGGGGTTTGGTGACGGGCTTCCGCCCCGTTGCGTAGCAGCAGTGGGCGTGGCAAAAGGTTAGTCCAAGACAACCAGGAGTGGTCGGAACCCTCTTTCCCATCCTTCCCTTCCCCTTCCCCTGCCGGGAAAGGCTGAGACCCGGCACCCAGGCTACCCCGCGGCCGCCGTGGCCTCAGCTCCAGTCTGGCCCCGCGTCCGGAGAACCCAGGCCGCGTCCAGAGCGGTGCGTAACGCGCCTGAGCAAGCTTCTAACCCAGGGTGTGGGAGGGGAGGGGAGCGGAGGGGGCGAGGTCCCAGTGGATTGGCGCCTGGGTCGGAGGTGCCGGGGGTCGAGAGGAAGCGGAAAATGGAGGAAGGGAGCTAGCTTGGCTGGGAGGAGTCGGTGGTGAGCTGGGGGCTCTGGAGCTTGGGGAGGTCCTTTGGAGTAGGGAAGCCTTGGAAGTGCGGGAGTGGCCTTGTGCTGGCCTGAGGACCGGGGAGGAGCAGACCGCTCGGGCTAGGGGACAACGTGGAGTTTAAATGGCAATGATTGACGGGCCTGGAAGCGAGGAAGGGAACGTTCTGGGGGCTAGCCTTGGCAGGAACCGCGGAACCCAAACCTCCGCCCTCCGAGCGCCATAGCTTGGCTTCTTTCCCATGCCTTGTCTTTGGCAGCCTTGTCTTTCTCTTTTATTCCTTCGCCGCTCCTCTCCCCTCCCACCCCTCCGTGGAGGACTCTTACATTCCTTACATCCTTGCCCCTGAATGATCTGCAGCTCCGCTCTCCCGTCTGCACGATCATCTCCTCACTTTATACACTGGGAACCCACCCCAGCCCAAGGAGGCAGAACAGTTGGTGGGTAGAGAGCAGGGAACAGGAGAAAGAGCCGAAAGCAAGAAGGATTGAGCGTGTTTTGGATCAGCATACACTTTTCCTACTAAGAAACTAGCTTCATCTCAACTGGTAGCAAATGTGGCGGTCACGAAGGCCACTGTTCTCAGAGCCTGACCTGTGAGAATCTTGGCAGGTACTTCTTATTCAATAGTTTTAGCTAATAACAAACAGTATTGCTGTTTGCTAGTATTTCCTCAAGAAGGAATGGGATTGAATAGCGGTAAGAGAAGGTGAGGGGTAAGAGAAGGTATTGGTACCACTCTGTTTCCAGTAGACCCCGTGGCAGGGCCTGCTTCCCAGTAATTGAAAAGAAGGAACAAACAATGTCATACATTTCCTCTTGTCCCTGTGAATTTATTGTCCCTTCCTGTTGCCACAACTAATAGCAGTCTAGAATCTCCTTTTATATTCATTACCTTGTTTGATTTCAGAGATAATATGTAAGATAAGGCAAGTGTCCTCTGTTTGACAGTTGGAGAGACTGAAAACCAAAAGATTACAATGGCTTATTTGAAGTTGTCTGGTTGTTGGGTGGCAGAGCTATGGCTGGAATAACCCAAGACCTTTCTCTCCAGGTTCTCTGCTTGGTCAACAATCCCTGGTCCATTTTCCTAGTGAGGAAGCTTTTTCGTTTCTGGGTCTGAAACTTGACCCTAGGAGTATAGCCAATAGTCCTTCCTGTAAGCATTTTTTGAGGTCCAGGTGCGTCTGCCAGATTGTTGGGAAATGGGGTATTGTGCAAAGGAAGGAAGTCGTGTTATGTGTGTGTTTCGGGGGAACAAGTTAGTGGAGAGGAGCATCAGCTCTCACACTCTCTTCTGGGCCGCCAGGAAGAGAAAGGACCAGGTTCTACACCTTCGTCTCTTCATTGGAGAACACACGCCGAGCATGCTGCAGCTGAGCGTGCTGAACTGATGAGCAAATGTTCCATATGCTCCATATGTTCCATATGCAGACTGTATGTTCTGCATAAAAGTTATCGCTGGGTGGGGGTGGCACACACCTTTAAACCCAGCACCACAGGAGGCAGAGGCAGGCGGATCTCTGTGAGTTCGAGGCCAGCCTGGTCTACAGAGCTAGTGCCAGGACAACTAGGGCTACACAGAGAAACCCTGCCTGGAAAAACCAACAATAATAATAATAAAATGAAAAAAAAATCTTTATCCTATTTCATCCCAACATAGCCCTTGAACTAATGATACACACATCATAATGATGCAAGAAGCATGGTTAGCGGGAGTTTGGTTAGTGCTCCTGTCTGTCACTGCATGGACTTGGTTCCATCTCTGTAGGCATGGCTCTGCCTCTAGTCCGCCCAGCCCCGCTGCTCTAACCTGCCAAGTTGCCCTCCTTGGAACACCACCCCACGTTTCCCTCCTTACCAGTTATTTGAGAAAGGGTCAACCTACCTGTAGCCCAACCCTGTTGCCCCTGCTGACCTTGAATTTGCAGTGATCCTCCTGTCTCAGCCTCCCAGGAGTTGGGTATAGGTAGGAGCTGATTTTTGAGTACCACCAGTTTCCTCAGCCCCCACCCCTCTTCTCTCCCCTTTTAAAGCCTGATTTCCTTCAGGAGTATTTCCCAGTTTGCACCTATAGCTGCATTCTTGGTTGTCTCTGTCAAATAATGTTCTCCACATGGAAGGTGGGGCCTGGATGCTTTGGGTTTTGTTTTTGTTTTGTTAAAGACAGGGTGTCTCTGTGTAGCCCTGATGTCCTGGAACTCACTCTGTAGACCAAGCCTATCTCAAACTCACAAGAGATCTGTCTGCCTCTGCCTCCCAAGTGCTGGGAGTAAAGGCGCGCACCACCACTGTCCAGCTGCGTTTTGAAAGTTTTAATTTTTTTTTTTTTGTTTTTGAGACTGGGTCTCATATAGGCCAGGCTGACCTTGAACTCCTGCTCTTGATCCCAAGATCCCAAGTGCGAGGATTGCTGTGTGAACCAGCATTTCTGCTTTGGCCTAGTTCTCTCTTACTGAAAACTGGGTTTGGACACACTTTAGAAATAGACTTCTTGCCGGGCGGTGGTGGCGCACGCCTTTAATCCCAGCACTCCGGAGGCAGAGGCAGGCGGATCTCTGTGAGTTCGAGACCAGCCTGGTCTACAAGAGCTAGTTCCAGGCAGGACAGGCTCCAAAACCACAGAGAAACCCTGTCTCAAAAAACAAAACAACAACAACAAAAGAAATAGACTTCTTGATTTATTGAGACAGGGTCTCTGTGCTGTCCAGGCTGGCTTGAAACTCAGTGCCTTCCCACTTGAGTCCTGGCTTCCAGGCATGCGCCATCTTGTCCAGCTCAGGGCTTTTTCTGTGGCACTAAGGATTGGGTCCCAGTGCCCTGTAAATGCCAGGCAGTGCAAATGTTCTGCTGCTGCATCTCAAGCCAGCAGTTTTGTTTTTGTTTGAGACAAGGTTTGGCCATGCATCCTACGCTCGCTGTGTAGTTGGAGCTGGCCTCGAACTCAGAATTTTCCTACTTCACCTCTGAGTGCTGGGATGACAGGCATGAGCTCCTGACCAGTCATGGTCTCCAGGATTCTTCTGACAGGAAATAATCTGCGGGAAAGCACTTTGCAAACATTCGAGGCTAGTACAGGGAAAATAAGAATTCACATGCTGAATAAAGAAGTATAAATACAGGGGCTGGAGAGATGACTCAGTGGTTAAGTGTACTGACTGCTCTTCCAGACAACCAGGGTTCAATGCCAAAAACCTACAAGGCAGTTCACAGCTGTCTGTAACTCCAGTAACAGTGGATCAGTTCCTGGACCAGGCACAGTGTGATGCACAGACATAGGAGGCTGTACCCCATATATAAAAAATGAGATAAAGTAATTTTCTAAAATTAATGCATATGTATATCCCCATCAACGAGTTCCAAAATAACTACACAGATACTTACTATTAATTATAAATGCTCAGCCATAGCTCAGCTTGTTTATAGCACTTTTAACAACCCTTTTCTCTTCATCTGGTGCTGCCCCAAGGCTCATTTACCTCCTCTGCGTACTTCCCACCCTGCTTCCTCTCTGTCTCGTGGTGTGTCCTACAACTCTGCCTTCTCCCCAGCATTCTCTCTGTCCTGAAAACCTTGCCTCGCCATCAGCCAGTCAGCTTTTTTATCAAACCAATCACAGCGACATATATTCACACAGTGTAAAGGAATAGTCCATGTGTGTGTGTGTGTCAGGGCCCCAGGTACCCTTGAATTTTTTTTTTTTTTTTTTGGGTTTTCGCGACAGGGTTTCTCTGTGGTTTTGGAGCCTGTCCTGGAACTAGCTCTTGTAGACCAGGCTGGTCTCGAACTCACAGAGATCCGCCTGCCTCGCCTCCCGAGTGCTGGGATTAAAGGCGTGCGCCACCACCGCCCGGCTTTGAATTTTGATCTTGCCTCTACTTCCAGAACACTAAGATTACGGACCTGCATCACTACCCCCTCCCCCAGTTTGTGTGGTGCTGGGATGAAGTTCATGACTTTGTACACACAAGCAATCGACCCCTGAGCTACAGACTCAACGCTCCTTTTTCTTTTCCTATATGTTTTTT